AAAAAAAAAAAAAAGAATTCAAGCAGAGAAAGAAAGGGAGACAGAAGAAATGGAGGGAAAAACAAAACGAATGAAATTAATTAGGGGCTCTAGTTTTCTTAGCTCTGTTTTATAGTATTAAATGCAAAGGGGGCTATCCCTCTGGTCTCAGACTCATGGCTTCAAATAATCCTCCTGCCTTGGTCTCCCAAAAGCTCTGGGATTATAGGCATTCGTTACTGTAGTTCCCACATACTACTTTTGTCTTGCTTTATTTTTTTAAAAATGTGAAATGTATTCATTCTTTACTAGGGCTACTTTAAATGACTATACAGAATCTCTAATCTTATATCAGAATGAGAAGGATGAAAAAAACCCAAGAATTAGCTTCTACCTCTATGCTATGACAGCCTGACATAGTCTTTGGCAAGAGTTCAGAATAAAATCACCACCACCACCCCATGAGTAGGCTACATGTTAATTCTCTATGGAAGATGTCAACAAGCCCAACTATTTGTAGAAAAGGCATCTGAATTTTTAAGAAAATAAAGTATTTCTAAGGAAAAATATTTTTATTTCCAAATATAAACACTGACTCCAACTGCTAACCTAGAATTTACTGGTAGAGATCCTATTGGAAGAAACTCACACATGAGCACAGAGATTTGAACAAAGACAGCTACTGTAGAATTTTTTGTAATGGACAGAGAGTGCAAATATTCACCAACAGAACATGAGCACACATATCATAATATAGCCAAAATACAGTATATTATATAGCTGTTAAAAATGATGTGGACAGTGGTGGCGCCGTGGCTCAGTGAGTAGGGTGCCGGTCCCATATACTGAGGGTTAGGGGTTCAAACCCAGCCCCGGCCAAACTGCAACAAAAAAATAGCTGGCCGTTGTGGCTGGCGCCTGTAGTCCCAGCTACTCGGGAGGCTGAGGCAAGAGAATAGCCTAAGCCCAGGAGCTGGAAGTTGCTGTGAGCTGTGACTCCATAGCACTCTACCAAGGGTGACAAAATGAGACTCTGTCTTAAAAAAAAAAAAAAAAGATGTGGATATGTACACTGCAGTAGAAAACTCTCCAAGGCATGCGGTTACAAGAAGCAAGCTAATTACAGGAGAAGGTGATCCTGTTTTTTTTAATTTTAATTTTTGGTCCTATTTTTAAAAGCACAAAACTATGTTATTCAACGTGTACACATGTAAATACACAGAAAAAGGTAAGCTACAAGCAGATTTGGTTGGTAAAAAGGTGCCATTTTCATGTTAGCCACTCTGTCTTTTCTTTCTTTTTTTTTTGAGACAGGAGCCTCAAGCTGTCCCCCTGGGTAGAGTGCCGTGACATCACACCTCACAGCAACCTCCAACTCCTGGGCTCAAGCGAGTCTCCTGCCTCAGCCTCCTGAGTAGCTGGGACCACAGGCGCCCACCACAACGCCCAGCTATTTTTTGGTTGCAGCTGTCATTGTTGTTTGGTGGGCCCAGGCTGGATTCGAACCCGCCACCTTCGGTGTATGTGGCTGGTGCCTTAGCCACTTGAGCCACAGGCGCTGAGCCTGTCTTTTCTTTTTTAAATTGAGATATGTTTAATATTATTTGCCTTTAAAAACTAACAATTAAAACTTCTACTAGGGCTAGGAGAGGTGGTTCATGACTGTAATCCTAGGACTCTGGGAGGCTGAGGCAAGAGAATTGCTTGAACCCAAGAGTTGGAGGTTGCTGTGAGCTGGGCTGATGGCACGGCACTCTACCCCGAGCAAATGAGTGAGACTCTGTCTCAAAACAAAAACAACTCTTCTACTAGGACTGCTTTAATGAGTACATAAGACTAATTATTTTTTTTTGAGACAGAGTCTCACTTTATCGCTCTCAGTAGGTGCCATGGTGTCAAAGCTTACAGCAATCTCCAGCTCCTGGGCTTAGGTGATTCTTTTGCCTCAGCCTCCTGAGTAGCTAGGACTACAGGCACCTGCCACAATGTCTGGCTATTTTTTGTTGCAGTTTGGCTGGGGCTGGGTTTGAACCTGCCACCCTTGTTATATGGGGCCAGCGCCCTACCCACTGAGCCACAGGTGCCGCCCAAGATTACCTTTTTTTTTAACTATATAAAAGTCAAAAAAAAAAAAAAAGGATAAAACCCCACATTTAAATTTTTAGATTAGGTATTCTTGAAATCTTATTTAATAGACTATTAATTTATTTGGCAAACTCTTTGTTCCTAGTGCAAAATTAGGGACACTGCTGAGTACCCCGAATGCTATATGGTAACACTTCCCCTTACTACTTTACATGAAGACTGTGCGCAAACCAGTTTAGTAAATGAAACCTTTGTTAAGCAAGACACTGGGAGAAGTAATCTCTAAAAACCTAGTCTGGGCTTGGCGCCTGTAGCAAGTGGTTACAGTGCCGGCCACATACACCTAGGCTGGCAGGTTCGAAGCTAGCCTGGGCCAGCTAAACAACAATGACAACTACAACAAAAAAATAGCTGGGTGTTATGGCAGGCGCCTGTAGTCCCAGCTATTTGGGAGGCTGAGGCAAGAGAATCACTTAAGCCCAAGAGTTTGAGGTTGCTATGTGCTGTGATGCCACGGCACTCTACCAAGGGTGACATAAACTCTGTCTCCAAAAAATAAATAAATAAATAAAATAATAATAAATAGGGCAGTGCCTACGGCTCAAAGGAGTAAAGCACTGGCCCCATATGCCAGAGGTGGCGGGTTCAAACCCAGCCCCAGCCAAAAATTGCAAAAAAAAAATTAAAAAAATAAAATAAAAAGCTAGTTTGTAGCACTTCTAATCTTAGATCAGGATGGAAAGGAAGAAAAAGAAGTGAGAATTAAAAAAAGAGAAACATGTCTATGGTAGAACCAATTAACCTCAAGCTCTCAGTTGGGTCATGTGGGAGACCACCCTGAGAGATTTATCTTCCAGGGTCATGAGTGATCTGGGTACATGCCTTCTCGTCAGGGTAACCAGGATGCCCATCCCCTTCTTCCCCAGGAGGGGCCTGTGTGTCCTTTAGACCCCAGCTCACACATAATCCCTGCAGAGCTTTCTAGAACAACCCCAGGCAGAATTATTTCTTCTGCACTATTCCATGTTTCTAACAGTTCACTCTTCACTATAATTATCTGCTGGTGCTGTCCCTCCTCCCATCAGGCTAATTTCCTCAAGGACAGGTTCCTTGTTTATTATTCTGTGGTCTAGCATGGGTCAAGTTTATAGCAGAAAAAAAAGGAGAACATGAAACCCCAGGGGCTGGGAAAAGCACTCAGGCTGCTGGCTGTGGCCTGTTCATGCTGAGGACACTCTCAACCTTGCCCAGGAATATAGATTGTCTATTTCTCCTTGCCAGGTAGTCGAGAGGAGAGGGAAGCGGGAGTTCTTTTCTCTTTTTCCTTTAGATAGGAAACTCAATGTTTGGCTGAGTCTCAAATGAGAATATGAGTTTCCAATTTCCCTTTGAAATCCATGAAAGTCGATTTTAAAAAGTCAAACACACAGTAACTTAGTAAAGTGATTAGTTAAATAATTCTTTATTCCTTAAAAATAAATTTCACAGCTCCCTTACGTTAAAAATGAATCACGCTTCTCTAAATACATGTAAAAGGTATTTCTTATCCTTGCTGCCACAGAACTATCACAGCAGTTGATAGTCCTCTCCTGTCCAAAAGCACTGAGCTGCCAGTGACTCTCAGACACACACAGACTGGTTATTCCTGCCTTCCTTGACTGACTTCCCTTCCCCCTCCTATTGCTGCCCTCATCCCGTCTCTCTCTGTTTAAACACACCAAACATCCTGCCCATAGCTTACAAGTGTGCAAGGCTGAACCATCAACACCTTCCGTCCACTTTTAAACAAGAGTAAAGAGAGCACCAGGAGTGAGGCTTTATTATTATTTATTATTATTTTCATTTTAACAGAAAGCAGAGTAATTCAGAAACTTTGCTGAAGTCAAGCAAAGGCTGCTCTTTAA